AAACAATATATATATATATAATACTACTTATCTTAAAATATAACAATCAAAATTTAATCACATTAAATATTAATCCTATTTAATAAATAATATTTAATTAAATAATATAAACAATATATGTAATTAAAATTTTATAGAATAATTATATATATCTAATAAATCTTATAATATTAATATATTGATATATATAATATATATGCAATACCAAACAAAATTTTCTTACACAAAAATATAAAACAAATTAATTGAATTATATCTATAACAATAGATAAAACTCTTTAACTATTTTTTGTCTCTATTTTTAATAAAGTCATTATATCCTTCAAATGAAAATTTTCATTAAGTAACTATACATTACACAATTATTTTCTTTCTAAAGTTATTATTATTTTTTCTTTAAAAATAAATAGAGGCACGAAATCCGAGGTATCTTTTGAATGGAAGCACAGGCATGAATCGTTCTTAAAACAAAAAATACTTTTGACAGATAAACGGTGTTAATGGAGTTGTGTCATGATTACCATATTTTTTTTTTCTTTTTGCTTTCTTACATAAGGTTGCAACGCTTATTGACTACTACAGTATATTACAGATGAAACGTGAAAAACAATTGAAACATAGTGTCATCAGCACACTTTACTCGTTGAACAGCTGAATTCATGAGTTTTGTAACTTTGATTTGAATGTACGTTTGAGGCTTCTCAACTAATCTGGATTTTAGTGAGACCTGGGAAAGGGTATTAGATGACTGGCTTACGACAGTAACCCTTCATATGCTCACACCTTAACAATATAATCTTCTATTAATAAATGAAAAATGCTGTATCCTTTGAAAATGGAGGCCAAAAAATTGTCCAAAAAATTAAAAAATTATTAAAAAATAATAATTTTTAATATTTAGAGCATTTTTTACTTCCATTTTTAGATGATGTAGCAATGCTCTTAATCAATACTTTCTTTTCTCAAGTGATTACACACTTATGTTTCTAAATCAATAACTGATTATGTTCTTTTCAAAAATGAAGTCACCACAGCATGAAAGTAACATTTTCTATAGATAAGACTAGGTGAATTTTATTTTTATTTTTACTTTTTTATTGAACCAAACAAAATAACCTTTTAACAAAAATGAGTTTTTTCATGCCAAAATTTCACCAAAAATCTTCATCTTTAATATCTCATAATATTTTATTATTTAAATATTTTATCTTTTATTTTTAATTAAAGATTGATATTTTTTTTTAAAAAAATAGAAATGTTATATGAAGAAATCCAAATTTAGTTTTTAGCACACTTTTTTAAATATATTTTTATTAATTAAAATTTATTAAAAATTAAAAAATCAAGTGAAAGAATCATTAATTAAATGAGAGACTCAGATGATTTTTTGATTTTTAATAAAATCCACAAATAAGATTAGATATGTGTTCAAAAAGTATGAAAGTGTAATGTTAACATTTTTCATAAATGAATTGAATAAATTTTTAGTTATAATAAATTAGATATAAATAATCTATTAATTTATTTGACTTAATTATATTTTTAATCTTTGAAATTTATTAAGATAATTATTTCTTTGGTCCCCAAATTTAAAATTTGTTTATAGTTCTTGTAACTTTTTAAAAAAATATTATTTTAGTCTTGGTATATATTCTTTTGGTCCCTCAATTTTAAAAATGCATTTTCAGTCCTCAAAATATAAAAATTATTATTTAAATTCTTCAAATTTTAGTCATTCAACTTTTTATTCTCTCAAATTTAAAATTTATCATTTTAGTCCCTGTAATTTTAAAAATATTATTTTAGTTTCTTATGGTCTTTGATAGTGACCGCTTAAGATAGTTTTGTAATATTAATTGGTTTAATATGATATTTTCAATGATAATGACATTAGTTAAAGAATTATGTACAACAAATTAATTAATTAATTAATGACATTTGAGTAAAAGACTAAAATAATAATTTTTTTTTATATATTTTAGGAATAAAAACATATATTTTAAATTTGAGGGATAAAAAGATAAATTTTGAATTTGAAAAATCAAAATAATAATTTTTTTATTTATATTTTATGAACTAAAAACACAAATATAAATTTTAGGAAAAAAAATAAGTCAAATTTAAAAGATTAAAAATATAATTAAGTCAATTTATTTTCATCTATTAAAAGATTATTTAAAGAATCTATTTAATTAAAAATCTAGCTTGTCTACCTATTAACATTTTTTTATAGATGAATTTCATCCATCTATAAAATTATTTTCAAAATCAAAAAATATTTTCCTTTCTATCTCTTTATTCCTCTCTCGTTTTTGTCTTATCTTTCTTTCCTCCGGCTAGTTAATGTTCTATCCATAACCAAAATTCTTAACTCTACTCCACAAAATCCAAAATTAGAAATTTAGAGCGCAAAATACGTGTACAATCAAATCTCCCGTATCATGATAAAATTAGCATAGTTATCAGACTGAAAATATAATTAACACAAAAACTTACTTGAATAGGTCTTGATGGAGCTTAATTGTAAACTTTTACAAAAACCAAGAGATGAACTGAAAGAAAGATGAAGAAAGGAGAGTAAGAAAGAGTTCTTTCATACTGAATGATTGAATCGACCACAACATGTACTGCTAGGGCAACCCAAGCATAAAACTAGCAGAGTTTACTTATATATATATATATATATTTAGTATAAGTGTTTATATAATTTTTTATGGGTTAAATTTCACTTTTGATTTCTCTATTATATTTAATCCACAAATTTGACCTTTTTATTTTTAATTATAAGATCTTTTGGTATTCCAAATTAATTTTCAAATTACTAATTTGATTACTTTCGCCTAGACCATTAATTGATGATGATGTAACTATATTAATGTCATGTAGTCATTATCAATTAATTGTTTCATTTAATAAGAGAAACCAAAATTGCATAATTTAAAAAACTAGAAGACCAAAATTTTGTAAATAAAAATAGTGACCAAAATTATAGATTAAAAATTATAAAGAGATCTAAAGTAAATTTAATCTTCATAATAAGAAATTAATTTAGTTTAGTTATAATTAAGATGCATTTTTTCTTTATAAATAGAGTTTGAATATGATTGAAGAAAATTCTATTTTTTTTATAGGGCCTTGAATTTTTTTTAATACTTATATTAGTTTTATAAAAATTTGACTTAAGACAAAAATACATAATTGTGGTTCTGTTAATACATGTTCTCTTAAGACTGCTCATGCTACTCGTACATCTTTGGTTTATCATTGAAAATACATTAAACAGAAAAGATAAAAATTCTTGTTTGTTTAATGTATAGGAATGTGTGAATTTCCGTGTTTATATTAATGGAAATGGTCTTCAAACACATCCTTAATCGAGAAAATCTCAACAAATTAATATCCCGATTTTTAATTACTTCGAAAATAGCTTGTCCACGAACATATTTAACTTCCAGAAATTAAAATATGAGGTTATTATATTTCCCCATGTCTTTTTCGGGAACGAAAACAAATGACATGTAATGGTTGGAAGTACTGAATACTACAACTAATGGTGGCATGATGCCCTTCACGTGTGCATGCACCTCTTCATAGTAATGTTCTTACATTTACTAAATAAATATTTATTTTTTAGCATTGAAAAACTTTTCAATCCATTGGTAATATACATTTTGGCAGCCACGACTAAACACGTTTTATATATAAGACGCTAAACTAGAACCGAATAAAATTATTTATGCTAAATTACACTTTCAACCTCCTATAATATTTAACTTGTTCACTAATTTTTTTACAATAATAGATTTGAGTCTAATAGTAGGTGACATTTTTTAATAATTTAGGATAGGTGAGCTTTTTTTTAGGATAACTTTGAAACCATTTTAGAATAATAAATTTGAGTCTAACTCAATTTCATAAAATCGATTTGTAAGGCGAGGATTATTCTTCACTTATATACTCTTTAATCACCTTATTTTTAATCGATGTGAGATTTTGATTTTTTTTCAATACACCTCCTCACGTTTAGCATTATTGAACTTGGTACATAGATAAATGATAAGTGACCATTTTTAATAATCTAGGATATGTGACTCTTTTTTTAATGATTTAGGATAGCTTTGATTCCATCTTAGGATAATAGATTTGCTGCTTTCCACTTGTATATTCTTTAATCACTTTATCTCTAGTTGATGTGAGACTTGAGTTTTCCCAATACACTCCCTCATGTCCAACACTAGTGAATTTGAATATATCTAACTTAACCCAATAAAATTGATTTGTAAGGTAAGGATTGCTATCCACTTATATACTCTTTGTTGAACTTGATATGTGGATAAATAGTAGGTGACATGTGATCCTTTTTATAAAAATTTAGGATAACTCTAATAATATCTTAGAATAGTGAATTTAAGTCCAACTCAATCTTACAAAACTGACTTATAAGATAAAAATTGTTCTTCACTTATATACTCTTTAATTATCTTATTTCTAATTGATGTAAAATTTAAATTTTTACAATATAATTATTAAAATAATAATGATAATAATAATTAATATTTTAAAATATTTAAATTAAATTATATTTTTAGTCTATTTTTCTTTGGCCGGACCACATGACTGTCAAATATCCCCCATTTCTACAAGGATTTTTTTTCCAACTACTCCAACTAATTCTTTTACGGTTTAATCCAACTATTTATTTTTTTTTTACACCAATCCAACTATTGTTATACGCGCCAAACCATACCGAGGTGAATTAAAAAAAGAAAAAAAATCGGCACTCATTTAACACATTATTACAATAGCGCAATAATGCACATTAAAAAAGAATTTAACCGTGCACGTGTTTTATGTTTGAGAATGATTTCCACGTGATATCCCCTCCCTGGTTGTTTGCTAACTTTGATCTTTAAGGATTTAATTAGGAATATGCATGCAGCTTTAGCTACACTATAAATAGGCATGAAACTTCTCATCAGGAATCATCATCCATTATTTCTCTAAACCGTATCCAAAGTAATTCATCGATCTTGCTCTTCCTTTTTCACTCAAAAAGCCTTTACTTTCCAACTTCCTAGCCATGGATCAGACTCCTTTTCTTTTGCTGTCAAATATTCAAGGCTTTTGGCCATCTTTGCTAGTTATACTCACTACCTTCATCGTTACGGTCAAAGCCCTAAAAGCTCACTTCGTTGAGAACTATTCAAAGAAACCAAAGCCAAAACTCCCCCCAGGCCCCAAACCATGGCCAATTGTAGGCAACCTCCCTGAAATGCTTGCAAACAGACCTACACATAAGTGGATACACAAACTCATGAAAGAAATGAACACTGAAATTGCATGTATCCGCTTAGGAAATGCCTATGTTGTCCCAGTGACATGTCCCACCATTGCTAGTGAGTTCTTGAGAAGACATGATGCAACTTTTGCATCAAGATCACTAAGTGTGTGCACTCATCTCATCAGTGCTGGATATTCATCAGCAATTTTTGCGCCCTTTGGAGACCAATGGAAGAAAATGAAGAAAATCATAACCAATGATTTGCTTTCCCCACACAAGCACCAATGGCTTCATGGCAAAAGGACTGAAGAAGCTGACAACCTTATGTTTTATGTCTACAACAAATGCAAAAGTGTGAATGACGATGGTGTTAGTGGCCTTGTGAATATCAGGAATGCTACAAGGCACTATTGTAGTAACTTGATTAGGAAAATCATTTTTAATACAAGGTATTTTGGTAAGGGTAGGATGGATGGAGGGCCTGGTCTTGAGGAAGTAGAATATGTTGATGCCATCTTCGATTTGCTTAAGTATATTTATGCCTTCTCTCTTTCTGATTATTTACCATGCTTGAGGGGACTTGACTTGGATGGCCAGGAGAAGAAGGTGAAGGAAACTTTGAGGATCTTCAAGAAGTATCATGATCCCATCGTTCAAGAGAGAATTAAACAATGGAACGAAGGATTAAAGGTTGATGTAGAGGATTGGCTTGATGTTATGATCTCCCTCAAAGATGCCAACAATAACCCAACATTGACATTGGAGGAAATCAATGCACAAATTATAGTAATATTTCACTTCTCTCTTTAGTTTGTTTATTACGTACATCTTCCTCATGCAAATGCAAAGCATATTATATTTCATTAAGAATATGTTTGAATAGAAATTTAGAAATATTTTTAAAAATTTTTCTATCTAAAAAATATTTTTTATTTTTAGTAAAAAACTCTAAAAAAACACTTTTATCTTCTATTTAAACAAACTCTAAGATTAAAATTATCTTTTCCCAACTTCTCATACTCTTTATCTCCCATTTATGATTTCATGTCATGTATTCTTTTTTAACTAGAAAGACTAAGGAGTCAAAACAGGAAAAATTCTTATTTGGTTCAGAAAACTGTGTCTATATTGTTTTGACCAATATTTACATGATATATATA